CCCAGGGACTGCCCCCGTCGACGGGCGACGACCTGGCGGCACCTCGACAACGCACGAGTCCAAAGGGAAAACATCACGATGGGCCGAACACCTGCTGGGGGGCTGGGCTTGCTGAGAAAGGAGACAAGCAGCAGCCGCAGATCCTGGTCCTCTGGGAGAGCTTCCCACGCGTGCAGGATATCTATGAACGCTGGCCTGTACGAACAAGGAAGGTATAGCATCTGCCTCGGACGGAACTTATCCACGCCCTAGGCCAACATGAGCAGGGTAGCTGTTGAGCACCCTGTCTAGCTGCTCCAAGGCAATTGGCGGGAGCTTGTCATATGGGCCCAGTCTGTCCGCCGACCCCGCCGAGGCCACGGGCCCCCCGAGGCCCCCGCAAGCCCCAGCAGAACTTCCGCCGACTCCGCGCTCCTCATTTGGTCGAGTCACATCCCACTCCATGGGAGGGCGCTCCTGAGCTGGACCCTCGTTGGCCCACAAGGGCCTCCGCGTGCCCATGATTTGTTCAAGAGCTTCTTGGCCAGCGATGGGAAGAGACGGGCCCTGATCCTGGTCGTCAGTCTGAAGGACCGACGGCCGGACACTGTCGCGCACAGACCGAAAAGCGACACTGCCACAGCTTGCCACCGCCTTCTGGGCCCACTCTCTCCGCACTCTGGCTGCTTCAGCTCCACGGGCTCGCTGGAGCGACTGCAAATAGGACCTGGGAGCTTCGAAGAAGTCTGTGGTCCTGGCCAACTGCTCAGGGTCACCCAACGCTAACAAATCTACAAGCTCGAGTCTGCTGATCTCCGACCACCTGCCAAGATCCAGACCCAGGCCAGTTAGAAATCACAATGCGACGGACGACTCTGCACTGCCGCTGGGGAGCCTGGAGGCGTGACATTCGCTTAGCTTTGGCAGCGACTCCAAGCTCTGAAAGGCGGAAGGCGGCCAAGTAGAACCTCGCCCATATCTTATACTCCGCACTAGAGTGCTGCTCCAGGGTGCGATTCCAGGCCAGGACAAGGGGCTCATTGGCTACCTGGAAGCCCCTCTCCTCCCAGTCCAGGCCGACCTGGACCAACTGGCTAAATCGTGGAACGCAGCCACATACCTTTCAGATAGCCGAGACCAAAGCGCACAAGCCTCACTGAGATAATTAGGGAGCGCCCTTCCGAGATCCCAGGACCACTCCTCAGGTGTCGCCTCACTGGGGGCAGGCCTGGCGGGAGGCGGCTTGTCAATGGGAAACCTGAGCGGAAAAACTGGGCGCGTCACTCGAGCCTCGACTCCGAGGCCCATCAGACGCACCTGCACTAGAATGTGGGTCTGCAGCGTCGCGCCCTCGATCGGCACCACCGACTTGACGAAACTGCTCAGGATATTGGAACAGACGCCAAAGTCGAGCTCCCGCCCGCCACACGTCGGAGCCGAAGGGGACAGCAGCACACCCCCTGCCTTGGCCATCCACTCGACCAGGACATCTGGCTCCATGTTGCAGTCGCCCAGGACGATCCATGGCCCTGGGAGCGAGCCAACATACTCCAGCAACTGACTGGGGATCAGAACGTTCTCTCTCGCTAGACCTATCCCCGTCACGAGGTAGAGGCTGATCGCGTGGAGCGGCACAGGGATGCCGATGTTGAGTCTCGCCGCTTCGATCCTGTGAGAGGGGAGCGACGACGACGACGACGACGACGACGACCTTGACGACGCCGCCGCCGCCGCCGCCAACGCCGCCGCCAACGCCGACGCCGTCGCCGACGCCGACGCCGACGACGACGACGACGCCGCCTCCGCCGACGCCGACGCTGACGCCGACGCCGACGCAGACGCCGAAGCCGACGACGAGGCCGACGCCGACGCCGCTGCCGCCGCCGACGCCGACGCCGACGCCGACGCTGACGCCGACGCCGACGCCGACGCACACGTCGACGCCGACGCCGACGACGACGCCGACCCGACGCCGACGCCGATGCCGACGACGACGACGACGCCGCCGCCGACAACGACGACGACCACGACGACCTCGACGACGACGACGGCGCTGGACCCCGCCGACGCCGACGCCGACGACGCCGACGCCGAAGCCGCCGAAGCCGACGCCGACGCCGACGTCGTCGCCGACGCCTGCGCCGACGCCGACGCCGACGCCGACGCAGACGTCGAAGCCGTCCCCGACGCCGACGCCGACGCCGACGCCAACGACGACGACGACGACGGCCGACGCCGACGACGACGCCGACGGCGACGCCGAAGACGCCGACACCGACGCCGACGCCGACGCCGACGCCGACGTCGACGCCGACAACGACGACGACGGCGACGACGAAGTCGACGACAACGACGACGAAGACGCTGGCGCCGGAGCCGACGCCGAAGCCGACGCCGACGCCGCCGCCGACGCCGACACCGACGAAGACGCCGACGAAGACGCCGAGAACGCCGACGCCGATACCGACGCCGACGACACAGCCGACGACGACGACGACGACGACGACGCCGCAAGATGCCGCCGACACCGCAGCCGCCACCGCCGACGCCGACGCCCACGCTGCCGACGACGACGACGACGACGGCGACGACGAACGACGACGCTGCTACGCCGACGCCGACGCCGACGCCGACGACGACGCCGACGCCGACGCCGAATCCGTCGCCGACGCCGATGCCGACGCCGACGCCAGCGCCGACGCCGCCGCCGCCGCCAACGCCGACGCTGACGCCAACGCCGACGCCGACGCAGACGCCGACGCCGACGCCGACGCCGATGCGCCGACGCCGACGCCGACCGAATTCCGACGCCGACGCCAGCGCGACGCCGACCCGACGCCGCCGCGACGCCGACGACGACGACGACGACGACGCCGACCGACGAACGACAAGACGAGACGGAAGACGCCGAACGCCGACGCCGACGCCGACGCCGACGCCGACGCCGACGCCGACAGCCGACGGACCACGACGACGACGACGTCGACGGACACCAGAATGCCGACGCCTTGGCCGCCGCCGACGCCGCCGCCCAACTCCGCCGCGCCGAAAAAGCCGTCGGCCGACGATGACCGACGCCGAAACGCCGGCCCGCCCGACGCCCGACGCCGACGCCGACGCCGACGCCGAAGCCGCCGAAGCCGCCGCCGCCGCCGCCGCCGCCGCCGCCGCCGACGCCGACGCCGACGCCGACGCCGACGCCGCCGCCGCCGCAGCCGAGCAGACGACGACGACGACGACGACAACGGGCGTCAGACACCGCCGCCGCCGCCAACGACG